TCTTGCTATATTAAAATTTCTAGACCTAACTTAACAAATTACACATTATTTCTATTAAATCTATTTTCGTATTATCAAAGAACCAAAAATGTTATATAGTTTCACTTTTCTATATTATTTACAGATTGCGTACAACCAATCCCTCGTATAAAGTGCAATAAAAAGAAATTTTACTTTTGAAATTTAGATATGTGTAGTTTCCTAATTTTTAACTGGGATTAGAGAAGAGCGGGAAAAGAAAACAAATTTCAATAAGCTTCTGGCCTGCACGATCACCTTAAGTTGTGTTAAATTCAGAAAGATGTTATTTATTTGGCATTTAGAATGGTTATAAAATTTAATAAAGTGATTGCTCTTCTGACTATTTTTTCAAAAAGTCTTAATAATGAAATTATTTCCAGAAAACATATAGTTATTTAATACATGCTTTCACTCAAACATCTAAGAATACTGTAACTTTCACCTGCCCAATGGATAGGACAAGTATCGTAAAGTTTATTTCGAGATTTGAATAAAACTTCTCTTATATGACATTGTTTACCATAAGGTTAATACCATTTTACACTAGAATTAAACAAACATGATATTATAACAAGAAACAGAGACAAAAATAATCAGTATACTACAAACATACCAAATATGTTAAAAGATAACTAATAATTATTCAATTAATGCAAAAAATTATTATGATAATCAGTTTTGAAGTTACAAAATGAAAGAAACAACCTCTAAAGCACATAAATATGAATAACTTTAAACACAAGGTTACAAATGTACTCTGATCTAATAATAATAATAAAAAGGACAGAATATTTACAAATAACAAGCCTACCTGAGTGAACTTCACGAGGTTTAGGAAGGTTTGTAACACAGGTGTGGGGACACATTAAGACATTAGCAGGATGGAGACTTCCTTCTAGAAATCTTCGTTTGGTTTCTGACAAGTGGATACCACCTAAAGGAGTCTGAAAATATTAAGAAACATATAAAATAAAAACTTTTAGCAGTTTCTGACACACTGTTGATACCAGTTTAGATTAATAGAAAAACAGATTAGAATATAAACATAACATGCAACACTCAAGGTTACTTAAAAAATTCTTTTTTTTTTTACTAAAAGATAACCTTCTATACATCCATACGATGCAATTTGCAAACTGTTAAAGTTTAGAAAAATATTTTACCTTGGCTATCTAATGGGTTAATATCACTCACAATTTGAAAACTGTTAAAGTTTAGAAAAATATTTTACCTTGGCTATCTAATGGGTTAATATCACTCACAATTTGAAAACTGTTAAAGTTTAGAAAAATATTTTACCTTGGCTATCTAATGGGTTAATATCACTCATAATTTGAAAACTAAGATCCACTATTTAGTTGAAATTAAAATTACAGCATCTTTAAGTTCATTAATAATTCTAAACATACAACAACCATTACTTAACTTCTAGGTATCTGCAGATATAACAGAACAAAACACTGGAAACAAGATCTTGGTTTAATATATATATATATACAATTCTGTGAAATTAGAATGCATACAATGTCACACATGAAACAAAATCCTTTTATAGCCATTACTTCACCTTTGGCAAATAGTTTGGTGGGACTAGAGCTAAACAGTAAATGCCCACTTGGTGGATACTGTCTACAGCTTGCAAAACTCTGCTCATCCATTGGAAGCTCTAAATAAAGAAAAGAGGGTACACTGTTAGTACTAAGTACGTAGCAATCACACAGTATCTCTGTCTACAACCGTTTTCATTTCCAGGCTGAATATCAAACGGCAATAATCTTGATAATGGTTTCTGTGAAGAAACACTCTTGGTCTGGTTTTTGTTTTTAAAAGAATTCCAAATTATTAGGCAGTTTAAGACCATTTGTTTTTAAATTCAACATGAAATATCAGTTTGTTCTCTGGAAACACTTCCAATGTAGTATTTTCTTTAACAATCAGCTGTTTCAATACATTCCATCAACAAGTAAGAATATTATCTAAAGGAAATAAAAAAATCTAACATTTTTTATAATCTGCCATTTTTTTCAGTGAAAGTACAAAATGAAAAATTCAAATTTACTCGTAACTATTTTGTATTGGATTTCAAACACTGCAAATGTCTCATAGAAACGTACACTTATAAGTCAAATTAAACCCATTAGGAAATGTGCTCTTTACCTCCTCCTCGGTGCAATCAGGCCTTTGTTCTGCTATAACACAGATTCTTTCATCCCTGAGCACACGAATTGAGAATACAGCAATTCTAAACATAAGAAAGTGAAAATTTCCCTATTTATAAATTACTAAGTAGAAATATACATATAGTGACTTTACATGTATAGATCTTCCAAATTGTGTTTAATCTATTGAAAGCTCTCTTGAGTACTAAAAATAATAAACCTCATGATTAAAAAATAAATTTCAAATATATATATTTTGTTTGTTTGAAGTTAAGCACAAAGCTACACAATGGGCTATCTGTGCTCTGCCCAATACGGGTATCGAAACCCGATTTCTAGCATTGTAAGTCCGCAAACATACCACTGTGCCACTGGAGGGTAATATTTGTAATATCAATTTATTTGAACCTACCAACCATATATTGTAATTATCTGTATATTAAATTATCTGAATGGCTGCAATGTCTTTTGCTGGCTGAATAGATGATATCCATATGTTACAGCCAGATAATACTGTGTGAGAATAACAGTCACATGATGACACACTCGCAGAAGAAAGAATATGATGTTTCTTTTAGAATTAAATTAAATGCACTTTTACATATTTCTGTGATAGAAAAGCTGTAGTATTTTCAGGTAAAACTGATTTCCATGCAGTTATCAGATAGATCCACTGAGTAATACTAAGTTTGACCAGAAAATTTAGGAGCAATATGTATTTGAAAACTTGACTGAGTTTTAATTCTGTGTTGAGCAAAGAAAAAGTTGGACACATTTGAGAAAAATGAACACAATCTTTATTACAATATTTAAACAAAAAGAAAATACAGTGAACCTACTTACACTGACAACAGCACAATTGGCTCAATGTATTGATCAACAGCTTCCTTTCTCTTAAAACAGAATTTTGTCAAAGTAAATAACAAGATGGCCAGGTAGAACTGAGAAAGAATAAATGCTTTATTTTATGCAAATTTGTTACCACTCAAGTTTTGAAAATGCCAAAGATATACAAATAATACCTTTTTATGTCTTTTTTTTTATGTTTTTGAACTAAATATGTGCATTTGTTATTTGTAATGTTTGTGGCTAGCCCTGTATTAAAACTCTGATAAATTTTGTTTTTGAAGCAGTTAAAAGTCAAATAAATTTGTATTTTATGTATAAACTAAGATATGATTTATTTCTCTAACATACATATTAAGAGTACCTTCATACACACTTGAAAACAGAATTAGCTCTACATTATATACCATACTGGAAAATATAAAATATACATCAAATCTGGTTTATTCCTGTCTTTACTTCTAATAATACATCAAAGTTTTAAGGTCTTAAGTCATGTGTTACCAATTACTTCCAATCGTATACACATCCTCCTGTTTACGAGCAAATCGAGGGTTTCCAATATAACTCACAACCTGAACTTGAATAGTCAGGAAATTTTTAGGACCCATGCTTAACTAAAGGAGAGGAGTTACTATTTAAATATAATTCAGTCTTGTTGGTTGTTGTTTGTTTCTTAATACATGGCTACAAATGGGCTATCTGTACTCTTTAAACTACAGAGAACTGAAACCCAGATTTTAGTATTGCAAGTCCAGAAACCTACCACTGACCTAAGAGGGAACACCACTATATTCCAGTAACATTCTTATATGTGTCTTGACTGAAACCTACATACAGCAACCCACACTTTGAGAACTGCTGAAATAATTTATTATTCTGATATTATAGCAGTAAGATATCTGAGCCATACATGTTCATGGACAAAAAATGTGGTCAAAGACAAGAATTACTGAGAATGTAAATACTTTTCCTCCTTCCATATGAAAATAAATAACACAGATAAAAAAATGCATAAAAAATATGATTTTTGCATTAAGTTGTCTACAATGAAATATATATCTTTCAATTGCTGAAAGCTGAGATAGTTATATTTGTGCACTCAAAGGGTTATACTACATATATTTTGTCAATCACTAATGATAACTTCTAAAAAAAAAAAAATTTTCCTGAATAATTCTATGCTACCTGCTAATAAAAAAAAGTTAAAAAAGTCTTTATAATAGATGCTTATTCCATCAATGATTCTCACCTGCCACGATAAATAAATTTCATTGGGTCTACAGCCAGAATAGTTGCTATGAGGTCATCAGTGTTATGCTTCCTCCCACTTACTTGCATCAAGCCATCTCGAGTACCACAGACAAACACAAGGCCTCCCTAACAGTAAGGACACAGAAATGTAACTTCATTTTTCCATTTTTATAACTAAATAAATTAGGTAATGAGTTGTACTAATAAACATCAAGTTTCAACTTTTCAATATCAGGTAGGAACCTCAGATAATTTTATTTAGTAACAGCTAAACTCCCCTCCCCCTTTTGGCATTAAGAAGAATTTTGCCTTTACTATTCAGGTAAACTACTCAACAATGATTAGAAAATTCCCATTTTGTAAAAGTAAAACTATCAACTCTCACTACTTCACGGTTCCTAATTAATCATGCATTCATCAAACAGTGCAGTAATAAGTTTAATAATGTAAACTTTCAGAGCATTCTTGTTTTATGTTTTTCTCTGCAGTAGCCATAACTTTAAAAATTAGAAGTTGTTAATACGCTTAACCATTCTTCTTTATAATATTTATCAGATTGGCTTTTTAAGCAAGTACTTATCATTATTTCTAAAGATGAACAGTTTGGTGACTAATATAATACTACCTGGTGTTGCAAAATATTCTCTGTAAGAGTAAGCCTTGTACATTTCAAGCAATTAACAAAGACCACAATCAAATATCACTGGGTTATAACCTAAAACCTATAAACACCTACATGACAAATATTTGCTTTTTTTTAAAAATTTTGTGAAGATACACAAGATGTACTATAATTTAAAGTATGAAAATTATAAAGGTCAATTTGGGGTCATGAACTCGGCAGATAGTGAAAGAGTTAATATTCTAAGTATTATATGATTATGTAGAAAATGTGTTCGTCCTATTTCAAATTTTATCATTCTGTAAAAGCAAGCTTCCAGTGATCATTAACATTCATTTGTAGATAAAAAAATCAGGATTTTCAATGAAGTATTTTCACTAAACATTTCTCTATGAATATATGGAGTCGAAGTGTTAAGTGAGTTTCCTGATAAAATTAAAAATACTTTTCTTCATCTGAAAAATCTCAAATTTCATTTTTGTAATCACTACAAACTTTACATTTTACTCTAGACAAGGTCTACCAGCCTCATAAACACCAAAAAAAATTCAAATAAATCTAAATTACCCATTTTTCTTTTTAGAATGTCTTCAAATTGTAACATAAAATTACGTTTGTATATTCTAAATAACTTTAAACTCATAACAATGTACACCTGTTTATACTTAAATTTTGTTGTTTTATTGCTCTTTGAACCATGTCTAACTAATATTCCCACCACATAAGTTGTAAATAACTTATCAAATGTGTAGCTCACATTACCCTATCAAATTAAATAATGCATGGGCTACTCATGAGTGCACCTTGTGAAAAATGTTTATTATTATTATTATTATTTATTTTACCTAGTCTAACTTAAAAAGTGTCGAATTTTTCATTTTAGTTAATTTTATAATAATAAAGCTATCTGTTTGTCTGTTATCTAACTACTCCTAGGTCGCTGGGCCAATCTCAACCAAACTTTGTGGGATGATAATTTGGAACAAGGGACATGTTAATAGGGGGGTTCACAACCCCTCCTTCCCCATTATTGCTGCTATTGAGCATTTATTATCTTTGACATAAGTTAAAGTTAACTGCATTCAAAGATGGTACCACATCCTAACATCTCCAAAAAAACTTTATTAAATTTTCTACAACAGAGTGTGGGGGAGGACACAAACATGTCATATATCTCAGAGAGTGCACTAGCACTTTCTATGGAAGAATGCAAGGAAAAAATGGCTGCCTATTGCAATAATACACAAACTCAGATAAAGTTTCTACTACAACAGCCACCATAACACTGATATGAAGAGACATTTCTTGAGTTATACCCACTTCCTACTTTGACCCACGACCTTACAACCATAAGACACCACTGCAGTCAATGACCATCAATTAATTAATAATGTGAAACAGCATGGAAGGACATTGAAAGCAGGTAACAGAAAGCACTCCTACCATCACTACTTTTGCTGTTACCTCTTCATACAAAGTCACCCTGACCATCACACAGTATATACCATGTTTTACACCTGTTGGAGCTTTGTCATCTCTGTTATCGTAATTTTGCTCGGGTAAAGTTACATGATGCTTTTGATGTTGGTACTTTTTTAAAGTGATGCCTCTGTTTGTCCAGAAAATTGGCAAAAGGAAAAAAAGAAATGTCATGTACAAAATATTTAGTGGGTTATACATGATTTCAAATGTTATTTTGTTATGGGTCACCCTGACCATCACACAGTATATACCATGTTTTAAGTATATACATAGTGAGTTCTTAAAGCTTATACAAAACTTTATGTGATGTAATAATAAATACTGTAATAACATGTTATATTCACCCCCACATTTTTTTAACTTCATAACTCATAAAAAGTATGGATACCTCAGCTTGTAATAAATAAATAAAAAATACATACGAAAAATAAGAAATAAAGTACTTACCTGGATCATCTTTTTTTCTGCTGCTGAATGTCCATGACACTTAACTCCACTATTTTATACTAATGGTACTACTGCACTAAACAATTTATTTAATTAAATAATGCACCAAAGAACACAATTTAATAATATGCAAAAAGCAGAAAATATCCCATAACTATCACAATTTTTCTGGCTTTCAAACTATGCAACAAGAGCCTTTAAAAATTCAGCTTATCTTGCAAATGTGTTTCCCTTGGGAATAGAGTTTGAACTGGAAGTGAAATAGACAATTTTCTGTACAAAAAACAAGGGAATATAATACAGCATTTGATAGATTAAAACCAAACCTTGATTTTCTACTGGTTATAAATAATGTAGTATTAAATAATGGAGAGAACTATTGGCAATTTATGAAAGAAAAGATGTGATAGGTGGCTATGGCAAGAGGGATCTGATTTTCTAGCTTATGGCTCTGTAACAAAATCTGATAGAAGGTTATAAAAATTATGCTTTGCCTGAGCAATGACAACATTATAACATTAAATTCTGTACTTTTCAGAGGGATGGTAAATAAACTAGAGAAGAGGGGATACCTATAGAGAAAATGTCACAATTCTCAAACTAGGGGAAATTGAGATTTTTTTTATTATTGCCTTATAAAATTAAGAACTAAAAACACATATAATATTAAAATTTGGATCATTAGCTACATTTTCATGCAAAGTTTATTCAAATACCAGTATAATAATGTACTTTAATTAGATTTTGAATGTGATTCACTAAAATGTCATGGCATGCATAGAAAAAGATGCCTGTAGCAAAAGTGTTAAATACATAGTGTGATGTAGATTATAAAAAATGGATCCAAAATGGTAAAAACATTGCATAAAACAGTAAATAATAACTTATAAAACACAGAAATATCTTTATCTTCCAGACTTTGTAAGAGTTGCTAACTAAGTGCTTCTTCCATGCTTTTGGCATTTCGCGAGTTAAAAATATGGCCTTGATACTTATAGAAGTTTATAATCATAATTAAGAACATTTATCAACATTTCATTTATTATGCTGTTTATTCTTTACTGTTAATCTCAATGTCTTATTACTTAGGGTGACTAGATGACCCGGTTTTGCAAGGACAGTCTTGTTTTTGGGTAGTTTGTACCAGTGTCCCTAACAAAAAGTTTACGAGATACACAAAACATCCTGGTTTTATTAGTCACAATACATCATGAATGTAATAGGCCTACTTGACACGTTCATTATTGTAACACATATTCTCCTGCTGCCAAACTCTCCTGATACTTCCATCTGTGCATGGTGAGAAACCCAGGTCTGTACAGGTGTTTTTTAGTTCATACTACAGCAGATCTATAGCAGTTGGTGAATGTGTGGTGGATGGTTAAATGTCAAGGACTGTTCTCTAAGTTATTTTTTATTATTCAACATGTCAAAAAGAAAGTGATTTGGATAACAAAGTTGAGTGCACTACTTGCAAAGCTGTGTTTTCGATATCACACAGTGGCAGATCAGCCATTATGGATCACACAATTAGAAATCCGGTTACCCTATAATACTCAAATTAGTTTTCTATAAGCTCAATAGATATCACTAAATATGAAAACTTTATGTCCAATTCTGTATATATTTTCCCAAAAGCTGCCTGGAGGGGTCACCTGTTTTAACCACTCGAACCACTTTACACTAGTGTGTTGTCTGTCAGTCAGTCAACAGACACTAAAATGATGTCACGTAAGGAAAATTTTATGTCCTATTCTGTATTTATTTTCCCAAAAGCTGCCTGCAGGGGTCACCTGTTTTAACCACTCAAACCACTGTACACTAGTGTGTTGTCTGTCAGTCAGTCAATAGACACTAATATGATGTCATATAAGGAATGCTTAACACTACAGTTTGAACTGTTGTGATGTCAGTGAAATGTGCACATACCACGAATCACAAAAAGAATTATGCACTCTGTAGGCTACAACACAGCATGACATATGAACTTTAAAAGCAAGAATTAAGATAAAAATATTTATTAATCTTAATCTTAATTATATTTACTCTTGAAACAAAACACTTTTTTGGACCCTGCAGAAGTAGACCTAGTTATATTTATGTTATACATACTTTACATATATGATAATCTCAACAACAGGAGGAAATGGTTCAACTTAGTTAAATGTAACTTATTACAGGTTGTTTGTTTGAAGTTAAGCACAAAACTACACAATGGGATATCTGTGCTCTGCCCACCATGGGTATTGAAACCCAGTTTCTAGCATTGTAAGTCCACAGACATTCCGCTGTGCTACTGGGGGGCTGTGTAACTATTATATAGCCTTCATTACTAGTTAAATATGAATGTTTTTTTTTCGTGTGAAAATAAAATCTAGCTCATTCAACCTCTTATAATAAGGTTTATCTGTTGAAAAAGGCTAGCAGAAATGTTACAAAAGATCTGTCAATGTAAGCAATACATACTATGTACATAATTCAAAAGAATTTGTATCAAAAAATGAATTATGTAGACTGTATAACATTAACTAATACCTTCATGATAAGATTATAGAAAATACTTAAGAAGTATTGTGTAATTACGACTGTAACATGTTGTGTACTGTCATGTGGGGCACTTGATATGAAACTCGAAATAAATACATTACATGCTAATACACCTTTTAACTAATTACTCTGATTACAAACTAAAACTATTAGACAAAATTTGAATAAGTTTTTCTATTTTACAACTGATAAAAATCAGTTAATCATTAATAGGGGTGTGTATCTCACCATAGAAGTCAATACAATATGTATCTAGATATTGATGCTGCGATACGATACGTATCTAGATACAGAAGTTTTACCAACGGTTTGTCACAAAGTTTTTAGTCTTGTCTGTAATTTATTATCTATAATACTAACATTGTCTTATTTAAATACTTTACACTTTACAGTGCTTTTTCAAATTCTCAGGTTTGATCAACTAAATA